ATTCCGCACAAAGATTTCAAATAAATACTGCGTGGAGAGATTGAAAGGACTAAAAAAGGATAATTGAAAGGACTAGAGAAGGATAATTGAGGCCGAAGGTCAGAGAACTGTGAGAGACAAGAATTTTCCAGCTCCGTGGGAATCGCTGACTCATCAAATCGACTTGGAAATCTCTTTCGGGAACTAGAGTAAACAAAAACTCGGATAAATCAATGCAATCACGGGAGAATTGAGGTTATGGTGTTTTTGCTACTTTGTAAAAATGGGAAAGCTGTCCTGACGGATCTCGGAAATCTACAAATTCAACAAGTTACGCAATCACATCGGAGATAATGTTATTTTAGAAGATATGTATTCTTTGCAGACAATGGAATCGTTTATTTTTACTGCGCATGGATGTTTGTCCAATTTATTTTATTCATTTCATTTCAAGAGATATACTTTTATTAGTACAGTTGGTACAGTATCAATGCCGATGCACGTCATTATCTACGTCAGAGATATAAGTTGATATTGTTGGCAAATTACCAAAACATTCCTGAATTTATTTTAAATAAATTGAATAAATTCATATTTAGCGTTATTATGTACTATGTGAAAAAAAACCTGAAACAGGTCAATTTTTATTCTTAAATTGACAATTTACAGTATAAAAATATTATTCCTTCTCCAGCACCCCCTCGAAAATTTTAAATAACAAAGGGGGTCGTGTGACACCTTGTTAGAATCATAACTGAGAAAAGTGATTTTTAAAATGTAAAATTTTGACAATGACTCTATCACAAAATTTATGGTTGAATGACGATAATAATGTCACATAATATTTAGAATGTATCTTTCAATGTACTTTACAATTAAATTAAATGTTCAAAATGTCCACCATTCACTTCTGAAAAATAACCGAGGCGCTTTTGCAATTCTCGTACATTTTTTACGACCTCGGGGATTATTTTATTAATTTCTTCCGTTAACCTAACTTTTGAATTAGCAATACTGTATGGTCTATTAAAATTTACTTCAGATTTTAAATAACTTGGTCCAATTCACCGATTGGGAAAGAGCTCATTTAAATAATTTCTAACTAAAAGTGCAAAATGCGGTGGAGCTCCGTCTTGTTAGTAATAAATAGATCGATTTATCTCATTTGGATGATTAACATCAGGAAAAAATCTTCGTAATGTATGCACTAAAAGGTTAATCAAAAAATCTAGATAAACCTCACCAGCAACTCTGCCCCAAAAAAAAGTACCAATAATTTTATTGTTAATGATACACAGCACAAACGTTAACTTTTTTAGGATATTGCGTATAAGTCTCACACACCCAGTGAGGATTTTCTCTGCTCCAATATCTACAGTTCTATTTTTTAAACGACGCTTCATCAGAAAAAACATTTTTGTTTATGAACCACAAATCTGCGTTTATTCTGTCCATGGTTGTCCATGAACGTTGTGAAGTTGGTATTTTTCTTTATGCAAAACTCTCAAAATTGATAATTTACTTACATCATTGACAGCGGCAAGTTCTCGAGTGGTCTTATAGCGGATTTTCCTGGTTCTCTAGAAGTACATCTAACTTTTTTATCAGTAAATTTAACATTTCGACCTGGTTTTTTAATATTTTTTACATGTCCATTATACCGAAACTTCTTTTTAAGTTTGCCAACTGCAGACTGCGACACTTGATGACCAGGGTATTTATTATTAAACATTTCACAAACCTCCTTTTTAGGTCTTGTTTTATTACCACAACTAATCATAATTAATTTCATTGAAAAATACATTCTAAATATTATGTGACATTATTTTCGTCATTCAACCTAAAGCCTTGTCTTCTTCTTCTTTAGGTACCATCTCCTCTAAGGGATGCAGCTCTTTTCACTTTTGAGATTGCAGCTCTGAACAAGTCGACGGAACTGCAATTATACCACTTTCTCAGATTGTTGAGCCAGGAGATGGGTCTTCTTCCAATACTTCGTTTTCCCTGTATTTTTCCCTGCATTATGGTTTGTAGCAACACATATTTATCCCTCTCATAACGTGGCCGAGATACTGTAACTTTCTTATCTTAATCGTATTCATGATTTCCATTTCCTTTGTCATCTTTCTGAGGACCTCAACATTTGTTATTCGGTCTACCCAACTTATTTTTAATATTCTTCGGTAGCTGCAATATTTTATCTGTCATCCATTATTGCTTCTTTTCTCTTTTTGATTTTAGATATTCATGCAAAATTGTGGTAATAGATGTCTTCATTTCGTTCCACTGTTCTTCTATGCTCTAGTTCTCTAGTGTCTTCAACTATTTTCGCAAAATTCTTATTAATTTCTGTTTTTACTTTTTTTGGGTGTCATTTTCTTTTATAGTAGTCTAATATCTATCTTGGGCCACATTTTCTTATGAATTATGTTGATTCGTATGTTGATATTTGCAACCAATAGACTGTGATCTGAGAGGACACCTGCGGTTGGATATGTTTTTGTTGAGGTGATAGAAGTTCTAAACCTCTTATTTATGTTGATAAAATTAATTTTGTTTCTTATGATTTTCCTTGGGGTATCCTTGGATGGACAATTGTGCATATTATGATTTACAGTTTAGTTTTATATATTTTGTAAACAAAGTAAAAAAGTATGGTAATTAAAAGTTACACATTAGCACATGCTTCTATTTCCACATCTTACTCTTCCTTATACTTTTTTTAACCATCTTATAGTTTTTTTAGAAAAACTCTTTTTCATCATCATTTTAAGCGTATAAAAAATAAAGCTTTATCTTAATGGTCAAAGGACCATAAGATGATTTACGTACTAATCACTGTCTAAGTCACAGCTAACACTGGAATCACTTTCACCGTTTATATTAATTATAATAGGTAGATTTTCTTCTCTATCTAGTTATGTTCTTGGTCCTACCACTTTTTAATTAAATTTTCTGTATGACGAACACAATTTTGTCATATCTGGGGTGTAACAGTTTGTAGAACTTCTGCTGTTTGCTGCTGTTCTTCTGCTAGTGTTATAATTTCATTTAGTTTATTTGTTATCACTTTAGTTGTTAATTTTAGTGCTGTTTTTAATAAATTATTTCCTCTGTAATTTTTTGGGTCCGATTTGTCTCCCTTTTTGAAAAGAGGTATTAGGATGCTTGACCTCCATTCTTGAGGAATTCTGTTTTGTTCTATTATTTTTTGGATTAGTTTCAATAGTTGTTTGGTCAGATCTGGTCCTCCGTACTTTAGGAGTTAGTTCGATGTGTCCTCTCCTGGTGATTTTCTATTTTTTAATTTCCGTAATGCTTTCTTTATCTCTTCCTCCTCAATATTTATTTCTTCATCTGTCGTCACCTCTGGTGTTAGTGGTTCATTATCGTCACCTTTAGCAAATAGTGATCGAAAGTAGTCTAGCCCCCATGTTTCCTTCTGAATGTGATTCTCGTTTTTATTAGTTCGTTCATTTCTTTTATAGTGGTTATATGCCTGTTGCATTTGTTGTGTTCTGTATTGTAAAAAGGCTTTCTTCTTTTCTTCATATTTTCTCTTCACTTCTTCTCTAAACCATGGTGTTTTCTTTTTTGATATGTTAGTGTTCGTTACTTTCTCTCTCTCTGAGTGATTCTGTTGCTGTGTTAATTATGTTATTTTTCAGTTTTTCTCAGCTTTCCTCGATGTTATCGTTTTCTAATATTTCACTCCCAGCGATCTTATCTGATATTATTTTTCTATATAAGTATTCCGTAGTTAGTCCTTCGACTTTGATTTTTGTTTTTGTTGGTGCCGATTTCTTGAGTGTGAAGTATTCCAGGATAATTCTTATTTTACATAATACTAAGCTATGGTCGCTACCTACATCTGCTGAGTTGAGACATCTTACGTCGATTATTTTCGATGGATGTATATCTCTGTTGGTTATAACATAATCTATCATAGATCTTTGTCCACGGGTGTTATTAAATGTATATTTGTGTTGGTCTTTGTGGTCCTTAGGTTAAAACGGCAATTCCTTGATATTCAGATAGATTCGGCTTTCTTACAAAAAATCACTTCCGACTTCTGCCTCCTTGCTCAAACAGTCTCAAAAATGTAACTCCATGAATCACATCGCTCTCGGAATCTTTTCTCCCGCAGGCAAAAAGTTTTAGTTTGCTCTCTGCTCACGTTTCGTAATATATAATGGTAAAGTAATTTAAATCAAGTGCTTAGTTGTGTATTAGTTTAATAAATCGGTAAATAAAATTGCCGTGTATAATTTGATCTCCACAAGAGATAGAATCAGCACCAAAAACAGCAACCTACAACCAAAATCTTGTAAATAAATTCATTTTGACAGGATGTCACAAGTATTTGACGCCCTCGTGGAAGATCACCCGTTTTTCCTTTATGGTCCTTCGAACCCGATTGATTGGTTTGTTCATGGTTCTTTATCGATGGATCTCTCGTGAAAGATCACCCGCTTTTCCTTTATGATCCTTCAAACCGTATTGATTATTTCCTTTATGGTTGCCTTCATCGCTAGATTGATTGATTCCTTTATGGTTCTTATTTGCTAGATATCTCGTGGAAGATCACCCGCTTTTCCTTTAGATACAAATGAGCGTCAAAAATAAATAATGAACAAAATAAAGCAAATCAGGAAAGATCGAGCCGAAAACAATAAGCAATTAATGGAAATGATGCAAACTAATCAGAATTTGAAAAGAGAGACGTAAAGCAACTACAGAAAAGAATGGAACACATAGAGAAATAGAGTAAGAAGAAAAAATTAACAGTAGACGCTATTGAATGGTAAAGAGGATGCGCCTAATGTTAATTTATTACTTTTTAATTTATGCAGCAATAACAGGAAGATAGTAAATTTCAGAAAGTTAAAAATATGAGTTTCTGTTGAATCGAGTAAAATTGTAAAAATGTATTATTACTATATTTTAAGATATTATTTAGCAGCATCACTTCTCTGTTATAGCTTTAATTTAGTTAATAAACCAATTTATATTTGTTTCAGCCCTTCCAGGCAAATACACTCAACAAAGGCAAGAACCTCTACTTCAACGTAATAGCTACTGACACCAACAGAACAATGACTGTAGAAGGAGGTGGTGTGAACGCCACTGTTATCCAACCCGATTTGGCCGCCACCAATGGTATCATCCACATCATCGACAGAGTTCTAGGGGTACCTTACAGTACCGTGTATGACAAGCTAAGAACAGATCCAATGCTTAGGTATGGATTTTTTATTTGCCTATTACTTTAATTTATATTGTTAGTTATAATTGGTAAAGTATTATTGTTAAAAACCAATAGAACTTCTGTTTGCTTTGTAAATTGTAGGAAGCACAGATTTGGCATTTTCCTGAATTGATTTCTAACGAAGTTCTATTGGTTTTTAATAGATGTCGCTGTAGCGTTTGGTGCACATTATTTTTAAATTAATTGCTAATATGACAGCAAGAGTTTGTTTCATTTAGGGCTTTGAGGCATAAGTTTGCTCTGAGTCGTCCAAAAGTACGAAATACGTATAAACAAATGGTTGTGCTCTGTATTAAAGTTATATCTTTACTGTCTTTCGTATTATTTTCAATTTTCTTTATATTGACAAATACACAATTTCATAAAGTTTTTAACAACAGGTTCTTCGCTAGTCAATCGAATAACAACTTCGGGAGACGTTACATTCATAACATATAATAGTATCAAAGAAATATTTATAGATGATAAAAATATAACTTTCTACAACTTAAAATGGACGACAAAAATTAAGGAAAAATATGTCTAAAGAAACGAAAATGCTCGTAAATGAGTTTAAGGGACTAGACAAGTATGGTTCATTCGTTCATTATTGAGAATAGTATAAAAAGACAGCATTATTCTAAAATTATCGCCATCCTGTACTTGTTGCAATGACACTTTTAGAAAAATAGCATTAATTTATTAGCCGTTTTAATGTGCATCAATAAGAACCAGTAATATAATATATGATACTATTGGCCTTGTTTTGGGCCTATGCATAAATCTATGAGGTTATGCATTATTAGTGACACAATCCTTTAAATGGTTCGGTATCGCAAAAATGACGATATTCCGCAATAATGGCGATAAGGTCACGTCTTATTCCTACTGAGCATATTGCGACCCTGCTTAAAATGCGTGTAGCACATCGCATAAATGATTAAATAATATGTAAAGAGTTACGATTGGGGTTGTTATATGTTACATACAAGCATCATCATCATCATCACGTAGCGCTACAACCCTGTGTCTTGGCTGACTGTACTTTTTTCCAATTTGTTGGGTCTTCCATCAACCTAGGGTCAAATGGAATGTTCATTTTCCGGAGATCTGTTTGGATGTTATCTCTCCATCCATTCTGGGACGTCCGAGTGGTTTTTTGCCTGTGGAATCTCCTCCCATACCAGTTTTACAAGGCTCTCGTTATGCAGTCTGTGCACGTGGCCTGCCCATCTTAGTCGCTGTGATTTAATTTCTTGGACAATATCGGCGTCATTGTAGAGTGCTTTTAATTCGATATTGCTTCTGATCTTATACTGGTTTGTGGTGATGTCATGGTGAGGTCCGAAAATTTTTCGTTCAAAGCATCTGAGTTTTTCTTCGTTGCTTTGGTCATGGTCCACGTTTCGCATCCGTATGTTATTACAGGTCTGACGATGGATTGTATGAGCTTATCTTCTTGTATTTTATGAACTTCTTGTAAGTTTTTTATTTTATAAGCTTATCAAATAGACAGCGGTTTGCAGATTGAATTCTCTTATTTCTTTCTTCAGTAACATCGTTGTCAGCTGTATCTACGCCCCCAGATACTTAAGACGTTGTACTCTTCCGAAATTGAAGGTGTTGAGCGTCACATTTTGTCCTATTCTGCTCTTCGTGTCGTTGTATACACATATATTTCGTCTTCTCTTAATTAATCTTCAGCCCTACTTCACTTGTTGCTCCTTCTACCTTGTTGAAGATGTCTTTCGTGGATAGGATGGAGTCTCCAACGAGATCTATATCATCTGCATATACGAGTAACACTTGTGACCTTAAACCGATGGCAATTCTGTTTTTATTTCGGCCGACCTCATGGCTTTCTCTAATGCAAGGTTAAAAAGTAGTGGAGATAACGCATCACTCTGTTTGAGTCCACTGTTAAATTCAAGACTTTGGTCATTCGAATGAGTTTCTTTGGTATTGAGAACTCCGCCATGGCATTACATACTTGGCTTCTTTATACGCTATCATATGCCTATCGAAAGTCTATGAAAAGATTGTGTATGGGTCTGTTATACTCTCATCCCTTTTCTAGTAGTTGTCTCAGTGTAAATAGTTGATCTATTGATCATTTATTTTAGATCAACATACAAATATCCTTCTTCTTTTTCTTATTATGCTGTCTCTCGAAGGTTATCGATCCAAACAGCAATTGTAGATTTGGAAACGCTGCACGAAATATTTCTGAAGGTTAGTGGTTTAATTATCTTTCAGGTCTTTCAGCCATGAGTCCTGACATCTTCCTATTGATCTTTTGCCTTCTAATATGATTTCACAAGCATCCTGGTTATTTATCTAGCGGACAAAAACTTTAATACTAAAAAATAAGAAATAAATAAAATTATACGTTTTTGTAATTTTTTGTATCTTCTTTTTATCCAAAGTGCAGACTTCTTATATTTTTTGTTTGTCAAATGTATTTAATTTATTATTTCTAGGGACACATTCAACTTGGGCAACCTTCAAGCATTCAACCAGCAGCTGAACGATACCGACAAGAGATTTACATATTTTGTTCCAAGAAACAAGGCTTGGTATGATGCCAAAGTTGCTTTACCGTCCGCTATTAAGAAGCTCTTCATGAGGGAATACGCCTACCATGTAAGTATCAATAGGCATTTTTTATCGTTGACAAGAAGATTGGTTATTCTATTAAACTTTTTAATTTTGGTAGAAGATAAACATGAAATGAGGATGACGATTTTACTACCACTTAGGGCGGAATTAACAATTCAATAAATTAAAGAACGAATGACCATCGACGGATGTGGAAATACAAGAATTAACAAATATTTTATCTAAAGTTTAACTTCACTATTATTACTAAAATGAGATTCGGTCAAAGTTCTTTTGTAAGTTTTTATTTTCCCTATTTAAAACTGTCGAGTTCACAAGTCCACCGCGAAACACAAAAACACTAGCACTATTTACAGTCACTAAAGAGAGCTAACTAAGATATAAACTAAGAACGTTGTCTTTGATATTAAACAACTTAATTACCGATATAATAATAAGCGGTTAACATATAGCAATAGAAAGTAAGCCACTTTGGTCCATTTTGACCTTTAACCTCTGACGTCACAAGCCCTGTCTGATCAAGACCTTATCAAGACCTGTTCGAGACCTGATCGAGGCCTGTTCAAAACCTGGTCAAGACCTGTTTGAGGTCTGTTCGAGACCTGATTCTCTGATAAAGCTGTTCTTTCAATCAAGTCTCGAACAGGTCTTGATCAGGCTTTAGTTAGCCGGGGCTTGTGACGTCAGAGGTCAAAGGTCAAAGTGGACCAAACTGGCTTACTTTCTACTTATAGTCTTTAAACTATATTTTTGTAATACAAATTAGCGAGAATACCAGTACGGCATTCGTACACAAAGTTTCGGATCGGTATATAGAATAATTTTTTGCAATGCCGTACATTTCGACTGGAACAGAGATGAGAAATCTAAAGCAAAATCCTTAATTTGAACACACATGCTTTAAGTACCGGTAATAATTGGCGGCGTAGTTTCTAAAGTTATTATTACTTACTGTAAATCTATAAGTGATTCATGTTAGGTCAAATGACCCCTGAAAGTGTCCCATAAACTTGTAGTTTATAATAGTTTATAATAACTATGTAGAACAAACAAGCTGTTTATACGATAAACTAATCCTGAGTTACTAATCAAAAGGTAGAAATCCGGTCTGTAAACTTATAGAAGTTCTTCATGGTTGGTTGGTTGGTAGTTCTTTGGATAACACAAGTACTTTCACGTAGTTTTTTCCATTGCTCTGCAGTTCAATAGTTGTGAATGCAAACGTAATGCCATGGATAAATTTCTAAAAGTATATTGCAAATTTTCTAACAAAAAAGAACTCAAAACCAATTGGAACTATCAAGTCAGTATTTCCTTTTCGAAAAATACATTATAATTTTAAAAACTACATATTGTTCAGGGCCTGATGGTATACCTGCAGCACTTACAAAGAACTGTATTTTTTCCCTTCGTAAACCTTTACAACAAATTTTCAATTTATCATTTTCATCATGTGTATTTCCACAATATTGGAAAAATAGTTTTCTTACACCTTTCTATAAATCTCGCAATCGTGAGTGTGTTAACAATTATAGAGATATAACTATTCAATCAACAATCCCGAAACTTTTTGATAAATTGGTATCGATAAATCTCACCTGGGCTTGCAGAAACATAATTATTGATGAACAACATGGATTTTCTAACGGGAAGTCAACAGTAACAAACCTTGTCAATTACCAACAATCCTTGTTGGATGCATTTGAGAATAAAATTCAGGCCGACAACATTTACACTGATTTCTCAAAGGCCTTTGATCAGGTTAATCATAACTTTTTGGTCCACAAACTTCATGAATCTGGCTTTGGTGACCCCATTGTTAATTGGATTAAAAGTTTTCTGATAGGACGTACACAGCAAGTTTGTATTAACAATTATATTTCAAAAGAATTCCATTGGTGTTTTGGTGTCCCACAAGGGTCTCATTTTGGTCCCTTGATTTTCAACTTGTTCATTGACGATATTGGTAAGGCTATCAAAAACTCACACTTTCTGCTAATTGCTGATGATCTTAAGTTATTTCGTTGTATACAAGATAAATCGGATAGAGATCTCTTGCAAGATGATGTAAATAATATATGTTTATGGTCAAAACAAAATGGTTTAAGCTTAAATCCAACTAAATGTTCTTGTATTTCATTTGGTCGTATAAATACTCTAATAGCTAATAGATATGTTCTTAATGATGTTCTCTTGGATTCAGTTACTGAGATTAAAGATTTGGGTGTATTATATATTATAGAAGAATATAAAAGGAGATCAAATTAGCCAAAGAAAAATGGATGAGAGAAAGGTGCGACGAAATGGAGGATGTAATATCTAAACACGACTTATTTAATGTGCACAAAAAATTGAAAGAAATGAGTAATATATTTAAAAAACGAGTTCCCTCTGTACTTGTTGACACTAATAACAAAATTATTGTAAATGAGCAAGAAATAAGAAAAGAATGGCAGCTGTATATATCAGAGTTGTTTGAAGATGACAGGAATAATATTGTCGAATTCTACCAAAACTGTACTGACGGCCCAGAAATTATGAAATGCGAAGTAGAACATGCTATAAATAATGCTAAATTAGAAAGCTTGTGTCCAGATATACACCAACTGAGTTGCTGAAACTAATAGAGAATAATAACATAAAAGTAGTAGTAAGACTTTTTAATTCAATATATAACACCGGAGTGATTCCCGCAGATTGGCTCAAATCCATCTTTATCGCAATACCTAAAAAACACAATGCGAGAAAATGCTCAGAATATCGATTAATTAGCCTAATGAGCCATACTCTTAAAATTTTCCTCAGAATACTTCACAACAGAATTAGACGCAAATGCGAAGAAGATCTTGAAGATACCCAATTTGGTTTTAGAAATGCTATGGGAACCAGGGAGGCACTTTTTGCGCTAAACATCCTATTACAAAAATGCCGTGACCAAAGAAAAGATATATTTGCATGTTTCGTGGACTTCGAAAAGGCATTCGATAAAGTACAGCATGTAAAATTAATGCAAATACTGAAAAATATCGGAATAGATGACAAGGATATTCGTGTCATTAAAAATTTGTACTGGAATCAAACTGCTATCGTAAAAATTTGAGATAACTACACCGATGAAATCCCCATACAGCGAGGAGTCAGACAAGGTTGCATTTTGTCGCCAACATTGTTCAATGTTTACTCGGACCAGCTATTTAAAAAGGCACTTGAGAGACAACCATATGGAATAAAAATCAACGGGGAACTACTTACTGTGATTAGATATGCAGACGATACAGTAATTCTATCAGATAATATTGAAGGTCGTTAAATTCTGCTTGATCGTATTCACGAGGTAGGAGAGGAAATGGGCATTAAAATAAACTCAAACAAAACCAAATTTTTAGTGTTTAGTCGTGACCCACATCCCTATGCAAAGCTTCAATTGAACGGAGTCCAAGTTGAGAAAGTTCACAAAATGACATATTTGGGAACTGTGATAACGGACCAACTAGATCCAGACATAGAAATAAAACGTAGAATAGCAATGACTAAAACTACTTTTATGAAAATGAAGTCATTTCTTTGCAATAATCATCTCAGTTTAGAACTAAGACAAAGAATGGTTAAGTGCTATGTTTGGTCTGTACTTTTGTATAGTGCAGAAGTGTGGACGCTAAAAGTATCGATCATGAACAAAATTGAAGCATTGGAAATGTGGGTTCATAGACGAATGCTGAAGATACCTTGGACAGCAAGAAAAACTAATGAAGAAGTACTAAGGAGCGTCAACAAAGACAGAGAACTGCTAAAGACTGTTAAACATCGAAAAATGTCTTATCTGGGACATATAGTAAGGGGAAGTCGATATAAAATTTTACAACTGATCCTTAAAGGCAAAATAGAGGGCCGTAGAGGTGTAGGAAGAAAACAAGTTTCTTGGTTAAAAAACATTCGTGAATGGACTCAGATACCAAATGCAGGACAATTATTCCATATTGCAGAAGATCGAGAGCCTTCGCAATGGATCGCCAACGTCGATAGTTCTGATATGCACGCGAAGAAGAATATATTATAGGATTGTGCATTGACATTTAGAAGCCATTTTCTTAAAATTAAGGAAACAGGATTTCGTAATCTTGGTTTTATTTATTGTAACAGTCATGATCTCTTACCTATTGTATTCAAATTATTCTATTGGTCTCTGGTATGCTCAGGTCTTGAATACTGCTTTGTTTTTTTTTTTTTTTTTCATTTCACTAGCACTATATTAATATCAGAAATACTGAAAATTATTTCATATATTCTTCTTCTTCTAGTTCCTATCCGTTTCGGATGTTGGAAATCATATTGGCAATCATAACCTTGCTCGCTGCGGCTCGAAACAGCTCCGTTGAGGTTTTCTTAAACCATGTTCTTAAATTCCGCAGCCATGATATTCTCCTTCTACCGGGTCCTCGCTTACCTTTGACTTTACCTTGCAATATAGACTGTAGCAGGGAGTAACGGTGCTGATTTCTCATAACGTGTCCCAGATATTGCAATTTTATGCGTTTGATCGTAAACACAATCTCTGGTTCCTTCTTCATTTTTCCTAGAACTTCCTTGTTCGTGATCCTTGCTGTCCATGATATTCTCAGCATTCTTCTATAAAGCCACATCTCAAATGCTTCAAGTTTTTTAATAGTGGCGTCTGTAAGCGTCCATGCCTCCGCCCCGTACAACAACACAGAGAAAACATAGCATCTCAAATGTCTCATTTTTGTATCAAGGGATATGTTGTGACTTTTGAAGATGGCGCTCATTTTGTTAAAGACCGTTCTTGCCTTTCCTATGAGGCACTTTATTTCCTGTAAATTGCTCCACTGTTCGTTAATAATAGTTCCCAGGTAACAATACTGTTTTACTCGCTCTATCTGCGTCCCATTAATGTATATATGAGCCCCATTTATATTCTCCTTGCTGATAATCATTTGTTTCGTTTTGTGGGTATTAATGTTTAGTCCGTACTGTTGACTGTACTCGTTTATTCTGTCCATTAGCCT